GATTAGCTCTGTCGGAGCCTCGCGTAGGGGGGAGGAGGAGGGACTGAGAGGCGGGCGGGCCTGTAGAGAGCCAGAGCAAGCGGGAGCCGTGCTGCCTTCACAGCTGAGCTGGGCCCAGCCTCACCCCTTCCTCTCCTCGGCCCCAGCTCCAGGCGAGCAGCGGTGAGTACTGAGGCAGCTGGAGTCCGGGCTGCACTGGGGATATGCTGGGCCGGCGATTGAGCTTCAGGAACCTGTCAGGGTTGATACTCCTGACCTCTGCCCCTACCCTGCATTGCTGCCAGAAGCCCCTTTATGCATTTTTGGTCTCTCCTGGGCTGGACAAGATCTGTCATACCCCTGGGAGGAGAAGAGGAGGAAAGGGGTCTGGTGCAGCCTCCCACTCCAGAGACCAGTGACTGGTGGGGGTTGGGGAAGAGGGTGTGTGTCCCTGCTTAAGTATGCGCGTAAGTGTGCATCTGTATTTGTCTGTGATGGTGACCACTAGGTCTCTGTAACTGATATGGCTGTGTGTCTGTGTGCATTGGAGAGTGAGGGCCTGTGTGTATATTTGGATCTCTTTGTGTGTTCCTGTTGACAGTACGTGTGTAAAACAAGCATGTGCTTTTCCATTACACGCATATTTGTTATGACTGAGAGTGTATGAGGGTGTGTCTTTGAGAGTGTGTGTGTGCCTGTGTGTGTGCTAGAAGGTGTAGCTTATGAATGTGTTTAACTGTACTGACATGTTTTCCCTTAAGTATGTGTGTGTGCATGTGTGTGTGCACCTGTATGGAAAACAAGAATGTCCCTTTCCCATTCGGCATGTATGTATGGGTAGCGGCTTCTGTTCAGGCCTTCTTCCTCCCCTTTACACTATGCCTCTCAGGCCCTCATGGTCCCTATATAACCCCTTTCCCTCCATTCTTCTTTCTTCTCCTTCCAGGGGGCCTAAGTTGGGGCTTCCCTAAGAGGGACTGTGGGAGACTCGCAGCTGTATGATAGTGATGGCTGGCTGACACTCCTGGTCCAGAGGGTTGGCTACCAGCCTTGCTCCTCCCCCACCAAAAGTAGCTCCAAAATGCCACAGGGACTCTGGGCTCACTCAACTTCTGAAATAGCTTCCTCTCTCCTTCCGGAGTGATGCTCAGTGTCCCCAGGCAGTAGGAGAGGATCCAGAGGCCTGTAGGAGGGAACGATTTTCTCCTCAGGCCTCCATGGAAGTAGCCCAAGCAGGAGGCCTGATCATCCCCAAGGGTGGGATCAATGATGCCATATTCCCAGGGTGTGCTAGGTCCCTGGTGCTCAGCAGCTCCAGCCAGCTTTCCCTTCCCTGTCTCTGCTTTCCTGCCCATCCAACTTCCCGGCAGTTCATCCCCCTGCTCCCCTTCCTCTCTTGCAGGCCTGTCTGAAGAGCATGCTGCCTCCTCACTCCCCACCTGGCCTCGCCATCCCTGCCCCCCCAGCCTGACCCCCGGCCCCAGCATGGCCCAGGGTGCCATGCGCTTCTGCTCAGAAGGCGACTGTGCCATCTCCCCGCCACGATGCCCACGCCGCTGGCTCCCCGAAGGTCCCGTGCCCCAGAGTCCCCCGGCCAGCATGTATGGCAGCACCGGCTCCCTGCTACGGCGAGTGGCAGGTCCAGGTCCCCGAGGCCGGGAACTGGGACGTGTGACAGCACCCTGTACACCCCTGCGTGGCCCCCCCTCACCCCGCATTGCTCCCTCACCCTGGGTACCCTCTTCGCCCACTGGGCAGCCTCCACCAGGGACCCGGAGCTCTGTGGTCATATTCCGCTTTGTGGAGAAGGCGAGTGTGAGGCCACTGAATGGGTTACCTGCTCCTGGAGGCTTGAGTCGGAGCTGGGACCTGGGTGAGGTCTCTCCTCCCAGGCCCACTCCAGCCCTTGGTCCTGGTTCCAACCGGAACTTGTGGCTGGAAGCATCCACTTCAGACCCACTCCCTGCTAGAGGAGGCTCAGCTTTGCCTGGCAGCCAAGGTCTTTTAAGAGGGCCTCCAGTCCAAACTCAGGTTGGGACAGATGGTCTTTACTCCTCTCTCCCCAATGGGCTGGGGGGGCCCTCTGAGCACCTGGCCACATTATTTCGAGGACCCGCTGACACTGGACTCCTGAACCAGGTATGTGACCTCCCTTGGCCTCCCTAGAACCCATGTCCCAGTGAAGGGGAAAGACTTGGCCCCCTTGGTGGTTTGGGGCCTGTGGGTTAGTCCCTCTGAGTCCTTCAGTCTATGCTAAATCTGTCTCTTTCTTGCCTTCTGTGATTGTCTCTGTGTCTCTGTACCTCCATTTCTCTCCCCGTGTGTTTTTCTTTCTGTGTTTCTGTCCCATGTTCTTGTGTCTGTGTATGTCTGCCTTTATCTCTGGGTACCTGTGTCTCTCTCCCTCCTTGGCTTAGGGGGACACCTGGTCCTCACCCAGGGAAGTCTCCTCTCATGCTCAGAGAATCGCTAGAGCCAAATGGGAATTCTTCTATGGCTCCTTGGACCCCCCCAGCTCAGGTAAGGCCTGGGACTGAGGCAAGGAGAACAGAACAGGGCCTTCTCCACAGCAGCTGAGGTATGGTAGGGAGCCTTTTTTAAACTTCCCCAATCCTTTTCTTGGCTCCTGAGTAAGCTAATGCCTCTCCAGGCCTCAATCTTTCCATCTGTGTTAGGATGGGGGGTTGTGGGATGGCAGCTGGGTTGGACACATGCAGGAAGCTGGGGAGTAGAGGAAGGGGTGGTAGGATATCAAGGGTCAGTCCCTAGAGTAGAAAGAGGCTGGTCTCAGGGCCCTCAAAATTATTTGACAAGAACTTGATTTGAAATGAGCTCCACTGGCACCAGAAACAAGCTGA